GGTAAGGTGGGGGCAGTGAAAAAGGCAGATCTCTGAATCTTAAAGTGCATTTATCAGTTGTTTCCATTCCTCCAAGAATGTGTTGCATTCTGAAAAAATACTATTTAATATATATAAATACAATAGAAACTCTGAAATAAATCTGATTACAATTAATCAAAGAAGGAGACACCTTGTGATACCATACATAACTGTAGGGAATCGCATGAACAGCATTCCTGAGAGTAATTGTATGTAATAGCATTCCCTAATGGGTTCATTCCAAGAGAATTTTAAAAATACTTGTAGGCGCCAATAAACTGTGGTTAACTCCAATTTCCTGAGCTGCTGTCTGGTTATTTGCAGCAATACTGATTGGAGTACTATGTTTTCTTTTCATATCAGAGTTCAACCCATCTCAGATGCATTCTCAGTATTTATGTTAACAATCCTTTCTAAAGCCCACATGCAAAGGGAATATGCCCAGGGTGTTTATGGGCCTCAAGAGAGAGATTGTCATAATGTTTTCCGTTGCCTGCAAACAGTTGAGGCACTGTCTGTTATCCAGGGCTTTGGGGGGATCTACTGTAAGCATGTCAGAGATGTTTAAAACTAGTTTTTGTATTAGACCATAAAAAATAGGCATTAAATCCTAGATATATTTAGTAAATGTAATATGTCCCATTACTGCCTACCTTGTTCAGGAGTTGGAAGTAAGTCAATACTCATTTCACCCCGAATATTCATTTCTTTAGTAGAGGCATTTCTGCGGTAACTAGCACTTTTATAGGACAGTGCATTCAAAACATGTTGTAAACATTAACTTAACTGCACTCTGTCCCTTAATCTTAAGTCTTAAATTAGGTTATTCCCATTTCACAATGAGGAAGGCAAGGCAGGTGAAATGATGTGCCAAGGCTCACAAAGAAAGTCAGTAGCAGGGCTGGGATTAGACTAGAGTTACTACACTTGGCCATTACACTACAGTGACTCAGTTTTTCTTTAACCTGAGCATTACAATTCATGAAGGACCATATCCAAAAAAGGAGCTTGGGTGGAGTGACATTGAAATTTTTTGCCTTGATTTTGGGAATCATGTTCACCAAACCAGGGTCAAGGTCCAAAGCTCCCTGTTCTTTACGTGCAGAGCTAGGATTGGAATTCACAACAGGAAGCAGCTAAACAAGCCAGGTAATAGGAGATACTGGAGAGGGATGCAGTTAATATCCCATCCCTCAACTGGATTTATAAATTTCAAATTCAGGCCTGCAGGCTGGCACCTCTGTGAAGTGGGTATTTCCAGCTGGGAACTGTAACAGGGCTTCTCTAATTACCATTACAGGGGAGATGGGTCAGAGCCATTTAAGGGAGGGGTATCACAAGACCCAGCTCATGGAGCCCCATCATCCATCCTCTAGTGATGCCTCTGGGTCCAGAGTTGACCCACATGGTGCCCACCCTAGCTGCTCCAGGGCAGGTAGTGAATGCAGATGAGTTTCTATATTACAAAACAACTGTCCTGTTGGCACTTGGACAAAGCACTTCTTCAAAATGCTTCATATACCTTCATTAGTTCATCCCACAGTAGTACTCAGAAGTACTTTACCCATTCTGCAGACAGCGAAAAATGGGAACCCACAGTTTGTGGCCCTTCCAGAGCCACAAAGGGAGTTTGAGGCATGTTTGGACTCAGTTCCTGGTCCCAGGTCCTGTACAAAACTCACTCCTTCACACCGTCACTTAAAGCCGCATTGAAATCAGTGGCATAACTTGTGTTGACTTTTCTGGGGCCAGAACTGCATCCTGTTTACAAGTTGGTAAGCCAGAAAATATCATTTATCAAAATGAAGATCAAATATTCTTTTCAATCCACATTTCAATAGTAGCCACTTTCAAATAAATATGAAACAGATTCATTAAAACCCAAACCCCATGGTCTCAGCTGAGATGCTGAATCTTATTCCCTATTCATGATAGATCATTCAGTAACATTTTGGAAGTTTTAGGAAACTATACTCGTTGCTTTTCTTAGAGCCAGGTAACCTGTAACAACATCTGAAGGCAGCATGCGAATGTAGGCAAATTCTTCAATGGTACTGAATCTCAGCTTGCTCTGTGGGTCTGTGTAATTAGCCTAGAAAAGAAACAAGGAGAGACACCAAAGAAAATCTCAGTAAATGTCAAACAAAATCTTAACCCAGTCCAGAAACCTGTGCCTAATAGTTGATAAATTAAAATGCAAAAAAACTAGGCATTCTCACTAGTGGCATTTTTGGGCTCCTCTTAACAAAGTTAGCCATTCCTCTTTTTCCACTTCTCATGTCCAAGCTTAGGGGAAGAAAACAGATTCCTGTGAACTGTTGCGTCCAAATGTATTAACTGTATCAGTGGGCACAAGTTACTTCATTCCAGTCAATCAAGAGTAAAGGAAACTGCAGCACCTCCTTAAACTCACCCTTGCAACTGTGTGCATGATGTCCTCCTCTACAAGGCAGTTCTCCAAAGAATGGGGTTGTTGCCAATAAAAGACCCTAGAAGAGGATGAATTACAGCTGGCCTGTTTGCCTTGTATGCCAGTTTCCCTGCCTGTGTAGAACTGCAGCATTTAAAATTGTTTCTGGAACAAAGAAGTAACCATTCCCAGCCCTCAATTCTATGACTGAACTGATAAGGAGCTTGAGCATTTTGCATTGCTGATTTCAGCTTTCAGCCTTGTTGCATGGCCACGTGACACAACTAACCTTGGCCTTACTCAGATCCTCTGCTATATTAGGATGTACCCCATCACCCTTCCCTCCCTGTTGCCACAGAAAACTTGAATGTACGAGAGGTGGGGTACCTACCACACCAGGCAAGGTTGGGGCAAATCACTCTCCATGGTATCTTCTCTCTGTTAAGCCCACACAGCAGACACTGCTGGTGCTGCTGTTAGTTTTATCCTGTGGAGACCCTACTAGTGCTCTCAGACCTTCCCTGTCAGCTTTCCCTAATAAGGGATCCAAAAGTGGGTCAGGTTGCAAGTGCAAGTGAAATACTGCACAGTAAGCCTTTCCTGGGAGCAAATCTACTCCCAACAGGAGCAGCCTGATACAGGGCTGCTCCTACCCTGCTCTGGA